AAATTCACGCCGGTAATATTAGGCAATTAGTTCACACAGAAAATGCGCCTTCTCATTCATAGACGTTCTCTGCTTAGGGCCGGTTACTCAATGACTGGTTACCACTTATCTCCGGTTAAACTTAGTTATCGACGTTACCGACTCCCTAGTAACTTTTTGAAGGGTGATTTTCTTGCAAAACTAGCAATTTTTCTCATTTAACTAGCAACAAAGTAGACAGCTATAACGCCACCACAGCAGTTAGTACATTTCGCACATTCGTATCACAATATAACCAGTAAACAACCTTCGGTGAATTTGGCGACTGCCTTCCTCGGGGATGAATATGCTAGGGATGAAATTATTGGTACACACGCCTTCCAAGCATGCAGGGTTGCTTTTAAGAAACAAAANACAGCGCACCTTTCCGTATTCGCTTGTGTTTATTTAGTACTGACAACTTTGGCTTTTTGGACTTGGATTTTTGTGAATTGTACTTGTTGATTACATATCGGCAACTTTGGCTTCTCTCTTTTGGAATTGGACTTTGGTGTCGGCATCCTTGTTATCTACCATGCCTACGCGCTACACTTCACAAGAATATGCGAACATGCAACTCATTTATGGAGAATGCAGATGCAACGCAAGTGCCGCCGCTAGACTTTATCGGGAAAGATATCCAAATTTAGAGCGCTATCCGGATCACTGCGTGTTTGTTAATGTGCACCGTTCACTGACAGAGGGCGGCCATTTCCCGAATCAAATACGGGCTGGAGGTAGAGCTCGCTTTCCTTACGAGGAAGAAGTGTTGCAAGAGGTCGNCTGCAAGAGGTCGCAGATGACCCAAGTATTGCCGTTCGTGGAATTGAAGAAAGAACGGGAATACCCAAAAGCACAGCACATCGTATTTTACAAAGAGCCGAAATGCATCCGTTTCACGTACAACGAGTTCAAAGTCTTCTTCCTCGAGATTATCCTGAAAGGATTTCATTTTGTAGAACAATGCTACAGAGGCATAATGAAAATCCCCAATTCATCCAAAAAATTCTCTGGTCAGATGAATCTACAAAATTATTGGGTCTTTAGACCTGCCTGAGAACTTGAATGACACGAATTACCTACATTCTTTACGAGAAAATTTACCAACTTTGTTAGAGGACATACCACTAACAGATCGTCGCCACATGTGGTATCAACAAGATGGCTGCCCAGCGCATTACACAGTGCAAGTAAGAGATTTCCTTGGCCAAGAATATCCGGGAAGGTGGACTGGCCGTTCAGGCACTATCTCGTGGCCAGCCCGTTCCCCCAGATTTAAATCCCCTGTTTTTTTTTTATTAGGGCGTTTTCAAAGAAAAATTTATTCAAAGCATATTGAGAGCGTAGCCGAGCTGCGTGAACGAATTTCTCAAGCTGCTGAGGACATCCACTCTAGATCTTTTTTAAGAAGATGTAGGGCATGTATTGAGGCTGATGGTAAGCAATTTGAACATTTATTGTAATAAGAAATGTTATTTCCCTATCTGACTTTTATTCCAATAAACCTAAACTAAACTAGGTCAAGATTTTTCATTATTTTATTAATTTTACTTATTTTTGTTGACTTTGGTAAAAGTGGCGTCACTATCTGTCTCGCTCGCTCATGGCAAACAAGTCCACTATCCGTCTCTTTCATCATTTTGCCGTAAAATTAAGAACCTACCAAGAGCTTGTGCGAATAAAAAACATTTGAACTGAGTAAAATGGGTTAGCAAAAATCGGGTTACTTGAGGTTTTTATTTTTTTAGTATGAAACTAACAAGTACCATTTTACAATCCTGATTAAATGCGCGAACTTTTGTTGGCACTTGCCAAGGCACTTTAGTACATTTTTTTTAAAGGAGGGCCTTTCAAAGTCGACAAATTATAAAAAATTTAAATTCGTAGTTTAACAAATAGTCTTAATTCTAGAAAACTTGGGGCAATTGGGTCATTATTTTTGACTTAGGTTCTAGAAATGTTATTTAGGGTTAAGGTTCCAAAGTTTCAATTAACAAAAATAATAAAAATTAACCACATTAACCGAAAAATGGTTACAGTTTGACAAAAATTTCTGGGGTTTTTTTTAAATGCCCATAATTTTCAAACTGCATGAGATAGCTTTTTTTTCTGATTTTTCTCATGATGGTTACAATCAATCCTGTCACCCCGTTTCAGCTTGACGTTGAGTTCTCGGACACCCTGTATACAATTTTCTAATACGGTATTTCCAACATTTTCAGTGATAATGCGCTCACTCACTCAAAATTGGCTAACCAGTGATGGACCGATTTACTTAATTCGCCATATAAATTATTGGGAGCGAAATATTTCGTTGCCGGCCCAAAATTTTATGGGGAATTTGTCGAACTCAGCTGTCAAAGCCAGACAAAGACAAATCAAAGCAAAGAGAGATAGAAAAAATAATGGAAAAGCAACGATAACTGCCAAATCGAATTAGGAGTGTGCCGCGTACATGGGGTAATTCCCGAAATTAACAGCAGATCGAACAACTTAATTGGCAGTGGTCGTTAAACAGACGGCAGCGTTGATACAGATTAACTCGGACTTAATCCGGATCAACTGCAGTTTGTTCCCGAGTTGATCCGGATCAACGCTGCCGTCTGTTTATGCTTTTAGGTAAACAGTGCATTAAGCGATTTATGTGGAACGAAAAAAGTGTATCAAAGTCGAAGTTATGAACACAGACACAAATTTACTTAATAGCCGCGCAAATAGCCAAATTTACATACGCGCACTGTTGTAACACACTTGAAGAAAATGTTACCAAAAGTATTAAAACCTTTTTACTTTTGACATAAACAATGGGCGTTACTTACACCTTCGAGATTGTGTTAAAGTTACCTAGAGGTTTACATAGGTATATTCATGATTTCTGCACTTGGTTCTTTTTGATCAGCTGTTTTCCTGTTAGCAAATTGCTGCGGGCAAAAATTTTTCCAGCAGAAACTAGCAGCTTCCCCTCAAAATGAAATGTCACTTTGCTCTCTCAATTTCTCCTACTTTGCAAGTTTTTTTCATACGCGAACGCAAAAAGCTGATAGTTTTTGATAACTTTCAATAATTATCAGGTACGAGAATGCAACTAAAAAAGGTTTCAAAGCTTGCACAAATTTTACAAAAATTTTTGATAGAATTTTTAGAATATTTTCGGGCACCCAGTTTTTTAGCCCATTTAATTTTTTGTCGAGAGTGTTGCGCATTTCTTTCCATATAAAAATAGATTTTGTTTATGCGTTTTATGGAAGAAAATTCGCAACACCCTTGACAAAAAAAATTCTCAAAATCAATGGTAATATTTAGCTCTTTGAAACTTGCACTTTATTAGACAAAAATTAAAAATAAATACATAAACATAAGTTGCGAACACTATTTTTAATTTGGGTGCAAAATCTTTGACCGTAGTTGTATGTTATACGGTGTTTATATGAGGCGATTTTGCAGGCAACTTTTAGTTGAAAGCAACAATCGCCTGGTGTGAACGGCATTTCAACTAATCGCTTCCAATAAAGTTGGGGGGGGGGGGCAGCCAACTTTTGATTCAACTAATCGCCTCTAAAATTGCATCATGTGAACACCGTTTAAAAACGCATTTTCCAAAGTCTCATGAGATATTTCCTTATCTTACGGGATGATAATTCTCGTTACATGAAGTGATAAAATGAATAGAATAGCGTCGCACTCAGTTAAAATTTTTTGTTTTAATCCGTTTTGTTTTATTTTTTAATCGACTTCACAAAAAGGAGAAGGTTGTCAGTTTGTCGGAATATTTTTTGTATTTTTTTTCTTGTATCTTACCGCATAACTTTGGACCACGTTAACCGATTTCTATAACTCTTTTTTTTTTTTTTTAACGGAAAGGTGTTACCGCGCAAGTGGTCCCATATTAATTTGGTTTATATCCGAACATAGGATCATAAAGAAATTAAAGATAATCTTAAATTCGTAGATGAGAACTGAAGTCGGCATTGTTTTTTGCTTAAAATTTACTTGTTATTAAAAAGGCTTTTGATTAAAAAAACTCCGGTGAAAATCTAGGAAATTATAGCGAAATAAAAACAACGACTTCGAACAAAATGCTCAATATTTCCTGCGCCCATCCATAACTCTTTCAAAAATTAAAACTTTTATATACTTAACTAATTTATTCTTCATTAGATAGAATAATATGTAAATATTTGAAGTTTTATGCCAAGTGATGAAAAATCTTTTCACTTCACCACTTCATACAACGAGAATCTGCGCCCGCGACTAACAGTGTGTCGGGTAGAACAAGCTAGGTGGACAAAATTCACTCGCGGATTTCTAGCAAAGGGTTGCCTATGGGTTACGGGTGTGCCATTGGGCCGTATGAATAATAACTTCATTTGTTCAAATAAATTTAAGTAAAAGGTTTCAAATTGTAAGAAAAAGCAATTGCTTAGTTTTTATTCATACGGCTCAGTGTTCCGAAACCAATTTATAATCTTACTGAAACTCAACAATATTTTGGTTGATTTTCTATGCTTAAAACCGTCTCATTTTAGAAGTGTGTAATTTTGTGTGAATTCTCAGTAATATATCATATTTAAGGTGATATTTATTAGATCACTGTGCCTTCGCTGTCTAGCCAACGGCGCCAGAGAGCACAAAAAATATATTGAAACGCTAACTAGCTGCGAAAACTTTCGAGTATTATCATCGATTTTTTTTAATTGAAATGAGTATTATTTTCTGTGTTAACTCATACACTTACATTTTTTATTATTAGCAAACATCATCACGCTTACGATTACTAAGCTAGTATGTATAGTAGGTAATTGTATATTTAAGGTAGGTATATTTATGTATATATTTATTTATTTTTTTTTTTTTAGGCATTAGGTGGTTAATATTATTATTAATTTTATGTATAGATTTAGATTTATTGTTATTATTATGTTATATGCTATTTGTATGTAAAATTGTCGTAAGTTTAAAATTGATTTAGCTTTTTGTTTGTGTTTACATTGCCGATATATGCACTACAGGACGATAATCGTATGTACTATTTTTTTATATTAGATAGTGATTAAATTAAATTAAACAAGGACTTACATAGTACGAATTAGTAGATTGGCGCACGGTTAAGGCATCTGTCGCGTACATTATGCACGTATATGGGTTAAATCTTCACTTATTCGCTATGTAACTATGATGCATAGAATTGAAGCTTCATAATTTTAAACATAAAAACACTAAACTATTACAAATGTAGTTAAGTAAAAGTTGAATTCACGCGGATCCGATAGTATGTATTCTAAATATAGTATATGTTGTTGAAAAAATTCTGCTAAAATCTGCTGCCCATGTAGTAGGTACTCGTCGTATTTATGTTTGTATGTATAGTTATGTATGTATTTGGAGCGTCTCACCCTAAATGCTGTCAAAGTTCAATTGTAGACAGATTACTTTTAAAGGCTTACAGGTGATTCAACTGCATATGCATATGAGAGCTCATTCAATCATAACGACTGCCTCTGGAGTTACACGCTTTTATCTTATCCACAGTACATTCCAAAGCTGCCTTCAAATCGTTGAACACAGGCACACCTTGGCGTTTGGCCAAATCAATTAGATACGACCGACCGCGATTATAATCTTTGATAGCAGCCGGCGTGAGCTGTAAGAAGAAAGCGCAAAAAGGAAATTATTTAAACACTTCAAAAAAGATTTCAACATTCATTTCTTCCTCCTCCCCACACACACTCACCTTTTCATTGTTTATCACACAGTCCTCGGGCAGCATTTGCACAGCTAAAACCACATTGTACATCAGCCCAATGCAATGCGCCGCCAACGTCATTGGCGCCAGCGAGCGTGTCTCATTGGTGATGACGAACAGCAACACCCGGCTGGCATCTAACAGCGAGGGGTTGAAAAGATACGGCCGCATCGGCGGCAACGCCCAACTGTATGTTTCTTCTGATACAGTCAACTCTTCTTCCTCCTCTTCCTCCAGCGCTGCGCCGCGATATTTTCGGCGTGTGCGTTTCAGTGATGTCTCCTGTGCGCCCAGCTGACGCGCATCCTCAAATACTTTGTCGGGCAAGTCCAGTTGCGACGGTTGCAAGCTCTCGTGCAGCGATGGCAAGTGGAAAGTGATGCATTTGCTCTTCAGGTACGGCATAGCGATATCTTGACGCCATTTGGTGCGCAAAAAACAACTACCACCAAGGTAAACGTCACGAAAGTCCACCCCAGAGAAAGTGAGCGTTTCACCGCCGCCATAATTACAATTTACCGAATTAATGGAGCTGCTCGATGAGAACACGGAGTCATTTGAATCACTCTCCTCAGCGTCAGCTGTGACGTTGCTGCCATCCATGCCCGCGAGTGCTGAGTGCATTTGGGCGGCGGCATTGGCGTTGATTTGCGTAAGCGGTTGTACTGTTGTTGTGTTTGTGCTCAAACCCGGATAAGCTGTAGCGGTAGTAGTAGAAGTATTAGGCGGTGTCGGTGGTGTATGAGCGGTTTGGATGGTTGTTGTTATTTCGGTTGTTTCTATAGATTCGATGTTAACAAGTATTTTTGTTTTTGCTTTACCTAAGTGAGCGGCCGAGCGAGATTTCAGTGGCTGATCCAATGGTTGTGGCGAGGAAGTGCCGCTATCGCGGTTGCGACTCAACAAATCGCTGCTGCTGTGACGTTCATCGTTGCCGGGTACGCTAGTTTGACTTGAGGTGCGTGAGATGTTCTTGCTGGTGAAATAGCTGATGGCAAAATTGCTCTCATCACCTGTGTGGAAGGGGAAAAATGGAATATATATTATATTTATCATAGCAAACATGAACGTTGCTAGCGCTTACCTTGCATATTGGTAAGATAGACGGGCGGTGGTGGTACGTTCGTTCCCTTTATGGGCGAAATGCAACCACTTTCTTGTATCTCCTGCTGCAGCACCGAGAGATAAGCGGAGATCACGCAGAATAAATCAAAATCGACATCAGCCGATTCGTTTACCGAAGCGGTCGGCGTATCTGAGCTGCACGATGATGTGGACGAGGACGATGCGCTCTTCTTGGTGCTACTGCTACTGCTGCCGCTGATATCTCGCTGAGCACTCGATTTTGTACTACGTTTTTCTAACGTTTCAAGCGTTTCACGTTGAGCTGCTACTATTTTATTTAAATTGTCTAATTTAACTAGACTCTGAGCGTAACCTAAATATAAGAGAGCGCGTTGACATTGTGCTACTGTAATGATGCCGTTCACTGGGTTAACACGATCGAATGCGCCGCGTACTACACTGCTTGTGGGATAGAGGAGAGTGAGTATTGCATTAACAAATCTTTTATATTATGCTTCATCATTCAACTTACACTAAAATCGATGCTATATTCGAGGGTGGATCTCTAATGCCAGCCAAAATTTCTTTGGTGCGCTGCAGACCCGATGGTATATCATCCATAACTGGCAGGCCACGACGTGTGACCAATTCCTTCAGTATTAGCTGATTGCGCCGGAGGTCAATGTATTCTCTGTGTAACAGGAAAAAATAGAAGCAATTAAAAAATGCGTCTATGCGAGTTGCTTGTATGTAACTTACTGCTGGGATATTTGCTCATTAAGAATCGATTGACTACGTTTATATGGATGTAGTACCAACACCAGCTGCTTGCAGTTTTGACCCGCTATATGTGCCGCCTCAATGGCACCAGCAGATGCGCGCGTCTCCGAATCCATAACGAAGAACAAAACACGCGCCTTCTCTTTGGCGCGATGTTCCAGCTCGATGAGATCAGGCGTCCAATCAGAAACTTGCTGCAAGATGGAGATAAAGAAAGCAGAAATTTAAAATTAACAAAATTACAATTAGAAACATTGAATTGCATGCCAAAGGTAAGCAACTCACGGGATTATAGAAGGAAATGCCAAGCTCTTTCAACGCCGGTATCGCTACATCGGCACGCCAGGTGGTGGGGTTGCACGAACCGCCTAGGAACACCTCGACCGGTGCCGATGTATCACCTTTTGACAATTTACGTTTGCAGTCTTCGACATTACTTAGGGATTTTGTACTACGTAGTTCAGTGCCGTTGCCGCTGCTGGTGCCCGTTGATGTCGAAGCGGTGCACATCAGGCTACTGTTATTGGCCTCCGTGTTGGGTAAGAGGCCACCACCAGCACGACTATTGTCATTACTTTCTGGCTGTAGAGAGCTTAAAAGATTCACTTTGTCACAGATCGATGGCGAGAATGTCGATGCGCTGAATAGAAGAAGAAAGAGTTTAAATTGTTTTTTTATGGGAATATCGTTTAAGCAAATTCACCGAAAGCGTTTTAGATCAGCTGCTAGCACACAAAATTCACCAAAGGTGAGACCATTCGATTGACGGCTGCTTTTGCGAGCCAATAATTTGGCTGTCTGTAGCATTTCGCTAACTGGAAAGAGAATTTAGGAAAAAGTTATTTACGGAATAAAATTTGTTCAGTGAAGTTAGCTAGAAAAAATGCACTCAAATTTATTTTGCCACAGGTTATTTAGAATCAATATTTGAATAGAAATAAAAACAAAATTGATGTAATGTTTTAGTGTAAAAAAAAAAAATTAATTCAGAAACTAAGTAAGAAACATAAATATTAAAAGTTTTGAAATTTTGGATTTAAATTTTAAAATGCGCTTTAATGTTCAACACATTTAAAATGCAAAAATAAATAATAAGAAAAATTTTAACTTCAAGATTTTTAGAGATTTTAATTTTTGCTTTCTATATACATACATATGTACATGAAAAATATTTAATTTTGGAAATTAATGTCTTTTTTGCCTTTGAAATATTTGAGTGAAATTCGAAAATAAACTCCGTCACCGTTTCTAGCTTTTTCTATAGCAGGACTAGTTCTCTCTCGAAAACCGGTATTTCCTATCCTTTTCTTAAAAATATAAATTTAGCGAGGAATTGTTTTTTTTTTTTAAGTTTCCAATCACTCACTTTGCTTTTCACTTGGATGAAAACTCAGCTCATGGAAGAGCTCCTGTGTACGTTCCGCGGGCACCACATTGCAACGCGCTTTGGCACGCCAAGCATTTAGAACCTCTCTGTAAATAGAAGATGAAAATATTAAAAAATTAGTGTTTTCGAAAAAATTATCTCTTTACATTAAATTTGAGTGTAATAAAATACTTTGCCATTAATACTACTTTTGCCATACTATTTTATATAAAAAAATATTTTTTCAACAAAACTCAAATTTTACATATCTACATACTAGTAACCTAAAATTTTGCCATAAAATTCATATTTTGCCATGAAAATTTTATTTCTAGAAAATTTTATTGCTAGATGGAATATGCAAATATACTATGTATAGCAATAAATTTAGTCTTTTCTATAAAATCAATGCTTGCAAAAAAATTTCTTTCAGCGTTTGAAGAAATAATGTGACACACAATTTATTTTTTCCCCAAAATTGATTCTATGTATGTACATATGTACTTATCAAATTTTGTTTTACTATAAAATGTTTTTTTTTATCTACTAAATTTTCGTTTACTATAACATTTTTGTTTATTATACAATTTTTGTTTGTCATCAAATTTTTGTTTGGCATCAACTTTTTGGTTCCTATAAAATTTGAATTTGCTTTAAATTTTTGGTTTGCTATGAAATGTTTGTTTCCCACGCAATTTTTGTTTGCAATAAAATTTTTGTTGCTATAAAAATTTTTGTTTGCTATAAAAATTTTGGATTGCTATAAAAATTTTTATTTGCTATACAAATTTTTTTTTCTATCTAATTAGAGAATGACTATAATTTTTTAATTCGTTATAAGATTTGAACTTGCTTTAAAAATTTAATTTTGTTATTAAATGTTATTTTGACATAAAATTTGAATTTTCTATTTCGCCATTAACTTTTAATTTTGCTACAAAAAAGTTTAATTTTCCTATAAAATTTAAATTTCGATATACAATTTTAGTTTTGCTATAACATTTTAATTTTGATATAAAACTTAAATTTTGCTATAAAATTTTCATTTTGGTTTGAAACTTTTAGTTCGCTATAAACACCGTTGAAATAAAATGTTTTATTTATTTATTTTTTGTTATATCTAAAATAAAATTTTTTATATAAGTGTACATACATTTATACATACATATGTATGTATAGTACATATATTTTTGTGAAAATTATATATTTTGCTAAATATTATTAATTTGGCTACAAAATTCGCATTATGTGTTTATATAATTGCAGCTTGTGCTATGAAATTCGCATAACTATTCAATTTATGTCTTGCTTTAAAATTTGTGTTTTTGTATTGTCATAAAAATGGAAATTTTCGTATAAAATGTAATTTTTGTCACACAAATATTTCTAAGCAGTTTACTATAATTTATTTACTCTAAAAAGCAGCTTGCGACGCCCAAATTGACAATTTTGTCCTCTGTTTTCCACTGATTTGTAACGGTCTCAACCATTAATTGCACAGAGCTACTCTCCAAGTCATTGACCGCTTGGCGATTGCGCACAAATGCACTGCAGTCAACTGGTAATGCCGACATCGAAGAAAAGGGGAAGGCAACAAGCCCACAGCCAAAAACTAACAGCGAATAAAGCCAAAACCTTTGGCAGCCAGTACGCCTGGTGTTCGCCTTTACGTTGCACACTGCCGCCGATTGCATCATTACCAAGCGAAAATGTTTTTAGCACCAATGCTGACGAGCGCAAGTAAGACGATTAAAGAGGGTCGAAGGAGGCGTAGGAAGCTAGCGTTGGCTAAGCGCCTAAACAATTTTTTTCTATTGTTTTCTTTGTGTTGCAAATGATGTCGGATGAATGAAAATTGGAAATGAAATCATCCAACGGTTTTGAAATGCGCCACAACACAACCAACACGACACCACACAACCACCATGCAAACTTTGGACAGACAAGCAAATTTAGAAAATTAAAAAATTGTAAATTTGCATTCAATGCAGGGAGCTCAGCCAGAAGGCGACATTGAACCTAGCTGGTGAAGTGGACNCAAGCAAATTTAGAAAATTAAAAAATTGTAAATTTGCATTCAACGCAGGGAGCTCAGCCAGAAGGCGACATTGAACCTAGCTGGTGAAGTGGACGTCAGCAGCAAAAATTAAAAATTAAAAACCTCGTAAACGATTCCACGTGAACCCGTAAGTGGCTGGCGCTATACTGTGGCGCTGCTTAAAAGTAAAAAAGGCATTCTAAGAGCGTACTGATAATTTTTCTTTCTTTGCCTAGGCTGCGGTGGGCTGAGAGCATTATTGAGTATTTTATTAGCTTGTCGCAAAATCAGCAAATGCGCCATATTTTGCGGTAATTAAGGCTCATGTTATTTTTGCAAAAGCGATTAAAGTACAAAATAAACTGTATATATGTATGTATATACATGGAAATTCATAGGCAAATGACTGAAAAAATAAAAGCNGGCATTCTAAGAGCGTACTGATAATTTTTCTTTCTTTGCCTAGGCTGCGGTGGGCTGAGAGCATTATAGAGTATTTTATTAGCTTGTCGCAAAATCAGCAAATGCGCCATATTTTGCGGTAATTAAGGCTCATGTTATTTTTGCAAAAGCGATTAAAGTACAAAATAAACTGTATATATGTATGTATATACATGGAAATTCATAGGCAAATGACTGAAAAAATAAAAGCATGCACTGCGCAAAAGAATTTTTACCGATATTTGAGGCAAACGTTTCGAAAGGCACAAAAAAAAGCTCATAAATCCTAAAAATGGCAGACGCAAATTATTTTATGATGAATGTTTAGCTAATTTAAGCGATTTTAAATGATTTATTTTCTCTTCTTAGTTATCCAGTATTCAGCAGAAAGAGCTTTTACTCTGCTTAAAATTGCTTGAGTGCATTGAAAAGTTGAACACCCTTGGTAGACACAATAACTGCAAATTAGCGTGGGTACCTGGCCACAAGGGNGAGAGAGGGATTTGGAAAAGGTAAGGTCATCGGTGCTTGAGTGCATTGAAAAGTTTAACACTCTTGGTAGACACAATAACTGCAAATTAGCGTGGGTACCTGGCCACAAGGGAGTGGAAGGCAACGAGGCGCCTGATTGTCGCGCAAGAGAGGCAGCAGCCATCACTCCAGTTGGCCTTCCTAGGAGTGGGTCGCAATACTTAGGAGGGAGAGGGTTTTAAAGTGGCATAGTTCGTCAGGAATGCGTCAAAGAGTTTACTGGGAGGGTATAACAAAACGAGAAGCTTAGAATAATAATAACAGGTATCCTCACAGGACACTGCAGGCTAAGAGGGCAACTGGGCCACATAACACACACAACCGCACCACCACCCACACGCCGCCGCCAACAACTCTTGGTTCCCCCTACAATCTGNGAGCGGGTTTTAAAGTGGCATAGTTCGTCAGGAATGCGTCAGGCAAAGAGTTTACTGGGAGGGTATAACAAAACGAGAAGCTTAGAATAATAACAGGTATCCTCACAGGACACTGCAGGCTAAGAGGGCAACTGGGGATATGGTCATATGACATTTGTCAAGACGTGAGAGAAGTTTAGGCTCAATGTGGCCATAGCTTAAGCACATTCAATCCCTATCTCCAAAATTGCTTTTGAACTTCATCAGGGATTTAGGTTTAGAAGTAGTACTGTGAAGAGTAGATGGAACACTAGATCGCGGTGCAATAATATCTATCTATCTATTTATCTATCTACTCTTAAACCGTCTACAGCAGTCACGACCAAAACGTACCTATGTGCGCCAGTAGCTTTTAAAAGCTTTCTAAAGTTTTTATGTGGAGGCACACAGAGTAAAAGCTCTTTTCGATCGTGGCTGGTCTATAAATGTTCTCGTAAAATCCACGGCTGAGTGGAAGTTCGACCCATCTCGGCAGCTGGTTCGTAAGCGCCCTACTTAGAATTTGATCGAAGAAATCCCGATCTCAGAATTTATTTCAAAAACGCCCTATCTGAACTGAAAATAAACGCTTTAAGAAGCTCTAAAGATGTCATATGAATGAATATCCGGTCATTACCATACTCGTAAAAAACTGACGACCAAAGTCAGCTTGTACTGAAAGCTTTAAAAAACTTTGTCGAGGTCGACATTTGTTTGCGATATTTTTTAATATAAAACGATAGAAAGCTTAAAAAAAATCTTGTTAAGCGATTATGTGAAGCGGTCAACTTTGCTATAAAATAAAAGTAGATTACCTTACTTCAATCACGACCAAAAATATATCCCGCGGGAAATACCCTTTAAAGCTTTTAATCAAATCTGGTATGGACGGGCTCAGAGGAGAACCTCTCTTTGTGGATTTATTCTTTAGTGGCATTCTCCAGTAGTGATCAGAGAGAGTTTTTACTCTGTTGCGAGTCCACATAGATAATTCGATTTTGCGCAGACGTTGAAAGCTCAAAAAGCTCGTCGCTAGCGCTCGGGAGCATAGGCTCTAAAAACTGTTAAGCCAAGAACTGTTACTCTAGGTCTCCACGGCTTTTTGAGGAATATTTAAATTTGCTAATGAAAAGGAATGGAATACGAAAAAAAATCTCTCACCCTTTATACAAACAGAAGTCAAGCCGTGCGGCGCATAATTCTTTAACCAAGTATGATAATGGAAATGACCTAAGAAGCATCAAAAAATGCTTCTTTGGCGTTCATTCACAGCAGTCAAGCTCATCACTTAGACGCAGACAAAAAAAAAAAAAAANAATTATGTTTAAAAACAATTACATGTATAAGTATTTTAAATTTTTTCGATGCGCTTTTGGTAAATAAAAAATTACTAAGTTATAAAAAAATGATAATTCTTTTAAAAAATAAACTACACAAACTTTTTCGAGCAAGAAAATTGTAAAAACAGCTCATTTTAAAAATGTTTTCGTCACAAAAAATATGAATTTAAGTCGGGTAATTACCAAAGGGAAGATGTCAGCATTTTTGCGATTTGGAAAATTTGATGCAGTTCAACAGAGCTCCTTTAAACGTACCGAACTGCATCAAAATTGTCAAAGCGAAAAAATGTCGACTTACATATTACCTTTGACAATTAACTGATTTATTTTTGTTATTTTTCCAATAAAAGAATTCTTGTATTCTTTTTTTCCATTCAAGCAATACTGATATATTGGATAAATGACTAGGAATGAATATCTTAAGCTAACTTTGAATGAAAGCTAGAAAACGAAGAAACACAAATGCTTATCTTCCAACACTTTTTTCTCCGAGTGCAAAAAGGAAATCAACAAACAACAACTACAACTACTACTATTAAAATTATTCTTATCAGCAATTAAATGGGAACTGCAATACAACGAAAAGGTCATTCATTTACAGAACTTATTTATACAGAGGCGTTGCGCGGTGATAGCATATTTACTCTACGACGGTGACAGTTAACTAAAGCTAAAATAAATAAATATGTTTACATGTGACAGCGGTGCAGCAGTAGAGGACCAAGAAAGCTATAAAAGCTGGAGCTATAAAAGTGAAATAACAAAAAAAAAGAATTCGCAAGCACAAACAAGTAAATAGCAAAAAAATGCGATAGAGTAGCAATAAAAAAAAAATGCATGGAAAAATAAGTGCAGCCAATCGGCTGCAACAAAAACAAAAACTTATTGACGCAACAGCAGCAAATTATAAATAAATGGTAAGCGAAGTGAATGGGAATTTTAAATGAGCAAAAAATAATTTTTATTAAAAACGAAAAAGACTTCTCACGATAAGAAAACAGAAGTGTGCTATAAAAAATATGGAAAATAAAGGCAAAAATTAATAATTAAAAAAAATAAATAAAAAAATTTATAAATTAATAAATTTAAAATTAAAAAAATGAGTGAAATTATTTATGGAACAATAATATTTAATGAAAAATATAATTTATTGAATAAAAACAATTTTTGGAAAATATATAATTTATTGAAAAATAACGGAAGAAACGTAATTTAAAAAACATAAATTTATAAGAAAATATAATTTATTAAAATAAATCTAATTTATTGAAAAAATATACTTTGTTAAACAAATTTATGTACTTTATTGAAAAAAAAAATATTAATTCGCTGAAAAAATTTAATTATTAAAAATCTATCATTTATTGAAAAATATTATTCATTGAAAAAAAATTTTATTTTTTGAAAACAAATACATATAACCAGCCCTAACCGTCAAAAAGACGCAAGGGACATCTTTTTCAAAATTTTGTGTTTAATGCAGAAATGCATCTAGATGCACTAGGAACATTTCTGCATCAAAAATAAAATTTTATAAAAAATGTTGCTAACGTCCTTGACGCGATATTTTATTGAAAAATAACATAATAAAATTTCGAAAAAATATATTTTTTTAAATAATACAATTTATTGAAAACAAATATGCATCATTAATTAAAAGCAAATATTATTTATTGAAAAAAATATAATTGAAAAAAAAAATATGATTTATTGAAAAAATTTAACTTATTGAAAAAATATGTTATTTATTGAAAAAGCAATTCAGTGAAAAAAATATAATTTATGTAAAAAAAATAATTAATTAAAAAAGTATAATTTATTAAATAAAA